ACACTTTTTTGACTTATGTGCATGGGAGAATCAAACCCTAAGTAAATAATTTAAGATGTCATTCTGAAGATGTGTAAATGTGAGTCTATAACAATAGCTTTTGCTTATGCTGAATGTAATGTTTAATGCAATTAAAAGAAAAAATTGTGAGAATTTATATAAAATTGCTTAATATTGCATCCAATATGAAATATATTGAATACACACATATTGGACATGTACTTGTCCTGACATTTTCTATGAACCCTGAAAACTTGATCTGAGTGAAAAAACCCAACAATTTTAAAGTGCAATTTCACTTTAACATGACAAATGGACACAAAATACATCTTCAGTGAATGTATTTTCAAGTGAACTAACCAAGTTATCTATCAATGTGAGCAACAGTATTTCATTTAAACTGAAAAAAACAGGATTTTAAGCCATTTGCTAATTTCTTACAGTCACCTACACTAACATAAAGTTAAAAAGTTTCATTCTTTAATAAAAGCTAGAGGAGAATGCATGTTTTGGGAGATTCCTTTACTAGGAAGGTCCAGTACAATCACTTTTACATACCAGGTGTTAATGTGAAGGCACTTTCTCCCTCAACCACTGCATGCTAAACACTGTGTTCTTAAGTAGCTTCCAGTTGTAACCTGATAGCTTATGCTTTAAGAATGCTTGTATGTTATAAAAATGTGAAGTTTGTGAATGGTTTCATTTGTTTAACTTTGTTTTGGTAATCTATATAATAGCATAAATATGTACAAATTTTGAGAACTGGACCTAATAATCAAATATGCAAAAAAAGATACATTTGAACTGGGAAAACATCTGAAAGTTGTGATTTTTTTTTGTTACAGGAAAGTCTTCCAATTTGATTGCAATGTGTGGTAAATGAGATGCATTAACAGCTGAATAACACAGTAACGACAGATGCAAAGTTAGCTTTCTGAAAACATTGGCAGAATGCTCCAAAAAGCTTTCATTATTACCTATGTTGTACCCATAAAGCACAGTGAAATTCTGACTTTCTCTTTGGGTGATAATACTGCAGTTAGGAAGGATTGTTGCAGTTTATACAATGGCTAAAGGTTAATTTCCTCTACCTTTATTCTACATATAGTTTCAGTTATACAATATAGTAAGCATGTTTGTTAATTGAAGAGTTGGAATTCAACAGAATTGATTAATTCTCACAAGGCACAGAAATAAAATAAGGTCATGGTGTAAACAAATATTTGAATTTATAATAATGGTATCATTGGCAAATAAGTATGTATAAGCAGCTATAATGAAATTAGAGAATTGGCTCATTTATGACCACCAGTGTACTACTTCAAAAGCTTTGGCTGGAACATTGGGGGGGGGGGGGTCGTCACCCATTACGGGGGAAACATGATTATTGGGGGGGTTGTATTAGCTGGTTTTGATTTTTCGGGGGGGCTACAACCCCACCATCCCCCCTGTAATTTACACCCATAAATACAAAAATAAAATACAAAACCTTAATACTTTTCACTACACACAGAAATACCATTTGTGTATGACTAATGGTTAAACCAAATCAGCTTTAATCAGCAAAAAACACTCAATGCACTGCACTGTATAAATTCAGCTTTAGCTAAAATAAGCTATACAGTGCATCCGGAAAGTACTCACAGCGCATCACTTTTTCCACATTTTGTTATGTTACAGCCTTAATTAAAAATGGATTAAATTAATTTTTTTCCTCAAAATTCTACACACAACACCCCATAATGACAATGTGAAAAAAGTTTGAGATTTTTGCAAATTTATAAAAAAATTTAAAAAACTGAGAAATCACATGTACATAAGTATTTACAGCCTTTGCCATGAAGCTCAAAATTGAGCTCAGGTGCATCCTGTTTCCACTGATCATCCTTGAGATGTTTCTGCAGCTTAATTGGAGTCCACCTGTGGTAAATTCAGTTGATTGAACATGATTTGGAAAGGTACACACCTGTCTATATACAGTAAAACCGGTCTAAGTCGACACTCGCGGGACCAGCTTAAAAGTGACGACTTAGAGAATTGACGAGATACACCTAAGTCGACACTTCAGCGACTTATGTCTATCTCGCCGTTTTGCCGACTAGTAAATATAACACCATATACCTCTACTCATCACGGTAGAAACCTGCGCGGGACGGAATTTTCAGTCCCGCTCCTGCCCGCTCCCGCAAAAAATATATATTATTTTTTCCCGCTCCCGCCCGCAGTATTCAAGTTTTGTCCCGCTCCCGCCCGCAAAATACCGCAGGTAAACATATAAGTAGTTTTATTTTTACCGCTTCTTCCCGCTACTCTGTTATTTGTTTCACTTGCTTCCCTTTTGAGTATAAAAAAGAAACGGAAAATAAACAAATATGTTTCGTTTTATTTTAGTTTAATTAAATGATGAACATGGACACGA